ATCGATGAGACTCATAGATCAAATGCATCCCAAATGCAGTTTATCTTGATGTTTTTATTACAATAAAGAAAATTTTTTTTGACAAGAATTACAGTAGCCAAGAAGTTACAAACTAAGGCCAAGAATTAGTCTCAACATGAACTACATAAGACCTAAAATAAACCCCAAACCCTACAATATATCAATCTTTCACATTACTAACTACTTTCTTCATAGATCATCTTATTTATTGATTAAAAACAAAAGTTGGGCATACTAGTATTTTTTCTGTTAGATCCTCTTTGGGACATTCCAGAGAAAAAAAAATTGAAGGGTACAAATTAAAATTAATAACTAAGTACATCCTTTCAAGAGTGGAATGTCACAGGAGAAGCAGAACAGCTGTCCAAAATAAAATTGTATCATGTTTCTTCACAGCAGTCAATCAAAGAATAGCTTGTGTCTTACCTTGCAACTCAAAGATTAAAAGGTTTGGTAGCATGCAATTAATTCAGTTTAACACACAAGTAAAGATATTCGTTTCTTATTATGCAATCTCCCTAGATAAACTGTTCAAAGACATATTGTTATCATTCGCCGGATAACCAAAAAAACCATGACTTTGCACACTGGAAGACAAAATCATTGATACCAAGTCAGGTCATTTGGCAATAATTTATGCTACAAAGGGAAGAGAAAATACCACTAAGAATGTGCTGAGCAGAATCAATTTCCAAAACATTGCCATCCAGTGAAAACCTTAACGACCTAACCTTCTCAACTCTCTCACTCCAAGCCTCCCATGAGCTATTATTTGATATAGGCTTTGTACTCTTTCCACTTTCAGCCAGCTTGGTACTCACCAGCACCTGTTGTCCCTTATTCTGTTCATGCTCAATATCATTCCTGCTCCTCAACTTTTTCTGTCCATGCTTCCTCAGCATCTCTACTAAAGCAGGATCCATCTTCTCCATTATCTCAGCTCGTGCCTCTGCTATATCTTCCTCTGACATCTGCTTTAGCCGGGACAGATTCTCAGCGTCTATGTCATCCATGAGAGAGGAAGACCCTTGATTGTTGGCCTCGGTCATATCTACATTGTTAATAACATGATTTTGCCCAGGCCTTGCAGGGACGTCATTTACAGCACAGGAGGAATCCAAATCACTGTCTCTTGGTGCATCAGACTGTAACTTCCCCATGATAGACTTTGGTTCAATCGTTGTGGTGATCGCTGCTGAAAAGTTTCTGTTCATCAAATCCCTCAGTGTCATCTCCTCACTGTCCAGCATATCAACATTTGGTGAAGAAGTCCTAGGGATAGCTTCCTTCTTTCCTTCACTTATAGCAGCACTGCTCTTCTTCACCTGAATTACTTTTCCAGCGTCAGCTTTTGCTTCCTTCGTGGATTGTGGTACAGAAGCATCATCCTGCGGAACAAATTCCTTCCACCTGCTAAAGTCGAGGGATTCCTTCTTCTTCCTCTCGATAGGGTCTGCAAATGACGCGATGGGGTCGTAATCGGTCTCATCCTTGTCTTCCTCCATGTCATCCTCCTCAGCGTCAACACTCGCAGAGCCGACTGGCGCCCAGTGCTGCAAGATTCCGGAAAAGGAACAGTGAGCGACATCGATGACGATGTCGAAGAAAGTGGTAAGAAGGGTTTGCTTTCCCCCATTCCTACCGGACCATGGGAGCGTTGGCGAGCGACGGGAAAGGGGAGGACGGTGAGACGGGGAAGGGGAACAGCGTAGGGCTTGCTGCTGCCCTCGCCGGTGGGGGGGAAGCCCTTCTCGACGATACCACCGACGAGGCCAGGCGCGTGCTGTAGGTCATGCACTATCTTCTTAAGGGCGAAGGCGGGGCCTCTGGGCTTGTTCGAGGTGCGGGACTTCTTGGCGGATTTCTCCGCTTCCATGGCGACGCTCTTCGTCTTCCGAGAGGTACCCAATTAGGGTTTATGACGTGCACCAGTACTAGCGAGTCCGACGGCTAGCCATGACGGTGCTTAAGAACGGAGGAAGGGATCTTATCGGATCGGATCCAAATCAGATGCCCCAACATCCGATCCAATGCAATAAATCCATAGGTCACAATTATACTATGGATTAGAAAGAAATGTGTGTACTACGAAGTCACACATACAAAACATGTTTATAACCATTAAGTAATCATCAAGAAGTCAAGTAAAATAGTTTGTTGAGATTATAATCAAGTAAACAAGAAAGAAAAGCTAGTTATGTTCATTATTCATGTTAACGTTTTTTTCTAAAATTTAATGGAAAGGATAAACCTCTAAGAAGTTTCTTAAATATTTTATTTTGCCGTATGGAAATTATTTTGTAGTTATTTTTCTTATTTTTCTTTAGTTTTTCTTTCCAGTATATGACGATTAGATTTTTTTTTTTGTAATATAAATAAATTTAAAAAAAAAATAAAAATAATCAAACAAAGAATAAAACTCTAATTAACACATTGACTCCTTCCATGCAAGATGACCTAATCTTCAATAAAAACACCTTCTCTTCTTATTTCCTTCCTCGAACCCGCATCTTGTTACTGACAAGATCATGAAATATATATTAATGCTACATTGTTGATTGTTTGGTAAAATCATATGGATTCGTTGTCGTTCATACATTCTTCACCTAAATCTATCAGGTAAAATGCACTATGCTAAACTGATTTTGCTTAAAATTTTACTAAATAATCCTTATCAGAATTTTATTTAGTTGAAACTTACCGAATGCACATTACTCGAACAAGAAAATTCAGTCTTCGAATAAAGAAAAAAATCCTACTTGCATAACACAACTTTTGCATTTGAACTTTTTTTCCTTCCATTAATACATGGCCCAGTGACTAAAGACGCATTGCACACTTTGGAGAGGTGCTATGATTCAACATTAACAGAATGTGCAGCTAACACTTCTGGAAGATACACACGGATAACACATTTTTACCTGGCCTCAGGAATTCATCTAGGAGAGGCTGTGATGTCTCAACATATGAAGTCCAAAGCCATATCAACATTTTTCTATCATTGATCTCTGTACAAGACAATATCACTACTTAAAACTAAAGATCTTCCTATCACTTCTTACTGTTTCTAATAAAAATATTCTCAAGTCTGTTGTTTCTTTCCTGGGACCACTAATACTAATTAACTTATCTAAGCACAGCATCTATATGTCCACTTTAAGCTTAACATGCTTCTGAAAAAAGAAATGAATGTGTTGTTATGAGTGTAAGAAGCAATGATGTCTCAATTATTTGGGTTTGATTACATGGATCTTCTCCATCAGTAACTATATACAAGACAATCTCTCTATTCAATCAAAGATCATTTAAATTCCTTCTTATTGTTTCTAGTATAAGTCTTTCACTCCAGACGCTCCCTCTTCTCACTCCATTAACACTAATCAACTCACTTCATGTAACTATAACATCTATAAATCTTTAGGAAACATGCCTAATAATATATTGTTAGTGTCATGGAGCCTTCCAGTGGAATCTACACTTCAAAAATCTTATTTCTTCTCATGGCCAGAACTAACATCCCAAGGTTCACAAAATGTAGGCAGTAACTCCATTCCGAAAGCCCAAACCCATTTTTTTCCTTAATCTATTGTTTTAGAACTCTACCAAGCCTATCTGTTGCAAAGATTGGACTATATATCACCAAAACTAGACCAAAACTACAAATTGCATCAAGTGGGAGTCAAAAAATAAACAATTAGCATTTGAAAGATTGAACTCCAGACCAAACAACAGATTATGTCAGGTGGCAAACGATAGACAATGGTAGCATGTGTCGGTGCATCCATCTTGTAAGTCAAAATCATTGTGCACAGAGGAAGATAGTAGTAACCAGCAAGGTACCTATCTTCACAAAGATAGATATGAAATGAACATATAGTTAGTACAGGTCGAAACATAATCCAATAAACATAGTTGTCCAAGAGACATTGTCAATCACCCATTCGACAAATGATGATTGCAGTATTCAAACCATATATGCAATAAGGTTACATGGGGTAGAATAGGAAATATAATCTGAAATATCAATCATTATGCTCTCCCTCACAGAGCTTACCATGAAGCTTCATGTTCTTCTTCACTTCACTGTGCAGAAAGGACAGTACTTGACAGTGTGACAAACAAATGGTTGATCTAGAGAAAAATGGCGGCGAGTGTGATCAGGATTATAATTGTACACACTAATGCCTGCAGAATATAAGGCGAGAATTAGATCAGTTCTAACTTACCTACATAAGAGATGCAAACTCCTCATCGATACTTAGATCCCACAAATATGAAGGAATATTAAGATGGTTACCTTTATTCCTATGACAGAAAGCAAGCTCTTGAATGTTCACTTAACAAGGACCAGATGCACAAGAGTCACAAAGTAACTCCTATTGTAGTCTAAACCAAACTACATAATCTGGATGCAAGATTGGAGTAATGCATGATTAACTATTTACTGTAGTTCCCTTTGCCTCTCTCATATCTTCCGCAAATATCCTCAAGCTTTACTGCTTTCATCATGAAACCACTCAAGGTTAACAGCCTAAAGTTAATTCTTCCAAGGCTGCCATATCTAATTTCTCGCAAGAACTAGCGTGTGTTTATGCTCGGTCACCATGTTGGTGACTGTGAGTAGAAGTTCAAACCAGGTGTGCCACAATCTGTGCCCCAAACCAGGTGAAGAAACCCAAACTAGGGATGTCACAATCCGAGCCCAAAACCATGTGAACCTTACTGCCAAAAAGGTCTAAATGCAAAAGTGGTAGCCAATCCTTCCAGTTCCTGATGTTAGACAACTAGATTGTTCCTAATCTACTTTAGGTAAGGGCTAACCACACCCAATGGTGCTTGGGGTAAGTGTCTCTCCAAATCTAACAGAGTCAGTGCTAGTATATTTAAATTAAGCTCACTAGAATTGTCCATGCATGAATTTTTGTTTATTGGTAACTTCATCTAGTTTCTGGTAGGAACGGCTAGCAAAACCATTAACAGCTTAGAAGATAGCTTGCAGCAATTGCCTGATGGACCCATAAATTTAAAGAACAGTCAAAGAAAGGATTTTTATATCATGTAATAGTAGATATATAGATAGATAGATAGATAGATAGATAATAGAAAGAGAGAGAGAGCGAGAGAGAGAGAGAGAGAGAGGAGGACGACCG